CGGGCCTGGCGGGCGGCGATAAGCCCTCTCCGCTCAGTTACTGCAGCACCGTGACCTCCACTTTCCCTCTGTGACTGGAAGCTGGCAATTATCGCCTGCCGAGACACAGTGTGGAGAGAAACTTCCAATTAGAGCTTTGTACCGCGAGAAACGCCAATTACAGTCCCCCCGCTGCCTCGTTCCTGAATGTCTGTGCTGTATGTGGGTGACAGTAGGTGTTGCTTCATAACGTCTTATGTATTTTGCTCATTAGTTGTTGAGCGCCTTACAAATTCCTCGGAACCATTCATGTCAGACAAACTAAATAGTTAGGGAAAAGAGCATGCCTACCCTTCCTATCTAGTTGAAGTGAAAAAAATGCTTCCAGTTTAGCACCTTGAAACACCGGGACAATAAAAAAAGACCTAACAAGAAACAAGCACTCGTGTTCTGGTTCTGCTGAATGGCACCAATTACAGCTCCGGCTGAAGCCACAAAGCTTTTCTTTGGGATTCCTGAGCCCGTGGACGTGAGAGGACCCCACCAACCATAACAAGGTGTGATCTCCTCAGCCTGTTTAAACAGCCTCCGCCCGGCGGCTCTGCAGCGGGACGTTTATTACCTGAACACCTTTTCTTTGTCTTGTTCATTTTTACAGCTGCGGCGGTGGCGGCTGGACCCGCCAGGTGTCGGCCCGAAAGGCTCGCTTTTTTCACAGCACCTCCAGATAGATTGGCATGTTGAATTTTCAGTGCTGTGGAAAAGTATTTCCCCTGTTACAACCTTCCTTTGTAAGACTTCCATGTTTCAGATCAGAGTCATTTTAAAGAGGGTATTATATAAAATTGGCTTTTTGAGCTTTATATGATGTTTTAATGTTACTCCCTCATCAGAAATATTCCTCATGTGTTGCCTGAATTTTTCATGCATGTTTGAGAAATCCCTGAATCTCCCCTAGCAACCGTTCAGGGATGCCTAAACACTTCCTCTCACAAAGCGCTGTTCCCTCTAGACTAGCAGCAGCAATTAGCAAACACCTGGTGGAACTGCTGAGCTCATAGTCCAAACTACTTCTCAGCCTGACGCTCCTAAGAAGATGGAAAAGCATCATGAAGGAGCATTGTTGAGATTAGGTGCTGAATGTTGAAAAGAGCAGGAGCTTCTTAAAGGGACAGAGACCAATTTCAAGGTCAAATTTCTTTTAAGTATTTTTGGTACACACAGCATTTTTGTAACAACTAAAGGTAACATAGTTACTTGATTATGGTATAAAATGGTTCTGTGTGCCTGGAGAATACACACTATAGACAGATAGAGCTGTGTGCTGTCTTCATGTGTGTGGACTAGTCTTCACACATGAGGACTAGTCCATTTTTCCCAGACCCGGTTGGCCTGCCGGTCTAATTTTCTTATGCTTTATTTCTAAAGCATAAGAAAAGGCAAACAGGAAGGTGATCAAAATTAAACTTTCAAAGCAGAACTCACAGATTTTCACAATAAGAGTTCACTTTTGTACCTTCTTTGTTAATTACAAAAGTTAGGTCAGACTTGAATGTAACTTCCTTGCTGTCCATCTCATTATTTTGTTCAATATTTTTTAAAGAGGATATACCAAAGATTAATCTTAATGTTATAAATGAAGTCGTGCAGCATGTGATTGTTTTCCATATGGATTATGATCTTGCTAATATTGCATGTCAGCAGTCCTTTGCAATCGTAGTTTTGCATAGATTAGCATTGTGATGTTTGTGACTTCATATATTCTGTAGCCTAAAGGACCGTCAGGTAGATAAGAAACAGGCATTATTTTTGCATTTTTACCCCTGAACAGTTTCTGAGACAAAAAGCCCAACTCAGTCCCGCTGCATGTGTGGGTCTCTGCATATGCTGAGCCAAGTTTTGCTTTGCTTTAATTGCCTCTGAGTAATTTTCCTCCATCTGGCTGCCAATCTTTGGTCCAGATCTCCTCCTACGGGACAGATTTTCTGTGAAAACTGTAATCTGTCAACAAGGCGCTCACACATGAGGACTAGTCCATTTTTCCCAGACCCGGGCCAACCGGTCCATCGGTCTGCCGGTCTCATGGTCCACCAGTCCACCGACCCATCGGTCCCCTGATCCACCAGTCCACTGGTCCACCGGTCTGCTGGTCCACCATTCGCCACGCTGCCAATCGGTGGCTGCGTTTCTGTCTTTCTTCTCACAGCTGCATGCTTGTGTTGTTCTCCCAACATACATCTGCCAACCATTCTGCCTTTGAGCAATCGGCGGCGGTGCTTCTGGTCCTCATTTATCTGCCTTTATCGAATCCACTTTCTCCAGAGCTGGATTTACAGGCGGCCTGGGTCCTGCCTGTATGTGTGTGTGTGTGTGTGTGTGTGTGTGCGTAATACAGAGGCTGTCTGGCAGCTTCTCTTTGTTTATTTGTATTTGTTAGCAGCCAGGTTCATTTGCATTCAGTTTCTATTTTTAGTTTTTAAGGAACACAAGAACAATATCTATCACATTAACTTTGTTTAAAACATCTGCAGTTTTACTGTAGCTGAGCAGCTTGTTGCGGTTTTATCTTTTCAACAGTTTGACGTGACTTAGCGTGTTTATCTCTGCAGTAGCCTGCGTTGGTCAGCTGAGATGAAGCAGCTGTGATGCTCAGACTTGCCAGGGTTGATGTTGTGCAGGGGCTTCGGTTCTCCGTCTGTGGGAGGAATAGATCGTTCTGCTTCTGACGCAGAGGAGGACGTGAAGAGCTCCAGCTCCTCCTTTTGTTTCTGCAGAACCTGCATATCTTTCTCACAGGTGGCTTCGATTCTTCATATTTTTCTGAAGCTGCATTGAATCGGCCTATAAAAGCCCTAATTTGTTTCATATGAACCAAGCAGCTTTCTCTGCCAGGCAGAGCTTTTATTGCCTGGAGTGTTTGGAAAAAAACTGTTTCACGGATGGAACCAGTAAGAGCCTGATTATGAAATCAAATTAAATAAATAAAAACATGTTAAAATAATTAACTGTACTACAACATTAATAAATGTTTCACAAAATGTTTTAGTAATTTATTTGTTAGACATTTTTTAAAATATGTTAATAAATCATTAAAATGGAGATGCAGATAACACATTGATTTTGATTAATTACATGGATTTGAATGCAATAAACACAAAGTAAAAAAAAACATTTCTATCATTCAGTTTGTAACTATGGTAACACAACAACCAAACTATGAAGATTATTATTTGCACTTTTACAAAGTAAAATTATTAGTTCCTTTATATTAAAAAGTTAAGCAATTTAAAATTGTTTAATTATCATGAAGCTGTGAAATAATATTCAATAGCATCTTATTCTCAATAGACAAATATTAAAATTCTTCATCACTGGTTTGTGTTAAAACTCCATCACATCTGGAGACCCTGAATGTCTGGGAGCCACAAGCAGCTAATTAATTCACCTGTGTGTGTAAAAACATTACTCAACATATTAACACGGAAAACTCATATGAATTGTTAAGCACAGTGGTGGAGGGTGATGATCTGGGCTTGTTTGCAGCTCTTGCAAGTCTTTCAACCATGAACTCTAACAGAGGACCAACAACTGGAGGCCCAAACTGGGTCATTAACAGAACTGTCATTCCTAATGAAGCAGCCAGAAAAGTGAAGGTGTCACAGAGGCCTCATCTTCAGATCTGTAGAATTTAAAATGTAAAAAGTTTCTGTAAATGAACAACATGTTCATTAAGATGTCATAAAGTAAAAACCTTAATATTCTGACCAAAGTCAGACACATAGTGCTGTCTCCTATGTGTCTTTCTTCTTCTGCTCTCATTATCATGGTAGTTACTATCATAGGTATTATGGATAGTTAGTTGGGCTTCAATAGGATGTCTGTTAAGGAACCACTCAGTGGTAATCCCCAACCCAGGGACTTTGTTGTTAATGAGGATTATCTAACTGTCAAAGCGTTGGAGGTAATTTCCTGTAAATTGATCCTGAAACCAGAAGAATCTGGAGCGTCTCTGCAGAAAGCTGCGGCGGCTGTGGGAAGCTGGATGAGCCTCTGCAGCTACTGTGCAGGTTCATCTGAAGGCCCTCGGGTTGAATTAAGCTCTGTTCGCTATGGACAGGAAGTCCAGGAACGATGGGATTTCAGTGGGATTTTAGGCGTGTGAAGGTCAGCTGTCACAGTCTGGGTGGTTTAGGCATCAAACTTCTCCACAAATACTTTTCCCAAGTCAAACTTTTATTAAGTGTTCCTCTATGGCTGATATAATTTGCTTTAACTCAGTTTCAGTTCATTTATACGACATAATTCACAGCAAAGTGAACATAAAACACTTTACAGCCCTTTTAACTTTCATCACAACCCTTTACTGACGTATTTTAGGATCAGAAGACAACTTTCAAAAACAATCTGATCGTAAAGAGTTAGTTCAGCCTTAATAACAGACGCATGGACTATTTTTCCTGCATTGTTTCAAAACAAGACATTTCTAATTTTGGCAATGTTGTGCAGGTTGAAGGAGGACGTCCTAGAAACCTGATTAATGTGGGACTTAGAGGACAAATGTTTTGTGTTTCAAAAACTCAGCTCATGATTGAACTTTTCTGACTGATGGATCCCAAACAGCAAATTACAAATTGATATTTATGAAACAAAAACTTCTTCTTTTAGTCAGCATTAGTTTTCATTCCCCATCATTCAGTCGGTGATAAAGTCATACTTTCCAAATCTTTCATAAATCCTGTCTGTTTTGCCTGATGTGTTTTTGGGTGATAATAAAACGGAGCATGAGTTGCTGATTCACTCTCAGCCAACACTCCTGTGACCAACTGTTGGATTCTCTGTTTGACATCCATGGCTTTCATGTTGTCACTTTTGCTGTGCTAACACATTCATTCACTGTTTCTCAAAGAAAGTCAGAGCAGATGGTTGTCAGATAAAACCATCGTGAGAGAAATCCAGGATCCATGCAGTAAACATACGGCTCACGATGAGGAGTTACCAAAAGCCGTGGATTCAGTGGAGCTCCAGGATATTTCCTCAAGTCGCTGTAATCTCTGCACAGACAGAAGCGCTGTGGTGTGCATATAATTCAGCTCCCGCCTCAGACAGAATCAGCCATCATGTCAGACTGCATGGCAGAAATTGGGAGAATGCATCACACGCTGGGCTGCAGCCAGACGCTGCAGAAGCAAACTAATGGAGCCTCATGTCGTCCTCCAGGACTGATGGCTGCGGCTTCCAGCTCCACCCAGAGGATCTGATGACAGCCCTTCATGTGAACACGTTTCTGGTTCAATCATGAGCTGACTGATCTAAATGAAGATCTTTTTTGGTTCTTTTGCTTTTTAATGATGTCAGGGAATTAAGGAACTGGTTAAAATTTAGGGTTAATTGTGCAAATTGTAAGTCATTTGCATATGTTTTGCATGTTCAACTTTATATCAAATGAATACTTTAGATTACAAAAATAGTATATAAATGATTACATTAGGTATATATTATATTACAATGTTGTTTTATCATGAAACAGAAACTAATCACTGAGCGCCTCGAACAGCTGAATTATTTCATGTTCCTGCTGGAATTACGCATAACAAGTTGTGACAGCTGATGTTATAAGCTAAATATTTGCTCATTGGATGGACTACACAACTAATTCAACATCACATCTAAAACTATGAATTTCTTTGAGTTTGTGACATTTTTTGCAGTTGTAGGGTAAAATCTTTCTGCTTTATGTGGATGAACATTTGATCCTTTTCTTCATCAGCAGCTGCTCATCTAATGGAGCTTATTTTGCTGTTTGGCAGCAGGTTGTGTCACGGCTTCACTTCGTCATTGTTGCTGGTGCATCAGCTCAGTGACATCAGAGAGAACAGTTTGTTTCCGAACGCTTTGGCAACATGGCAGCATCATGACATGACCCCGCCGTCCCGCTCCAGGGTGAGCCCCCTGGGTGTGGCGTCAGGATCTGCATGGGTCAGAGGAGACCATGACCATGACTGATGCTAGGATGGAGCATGGAAAAAGTCTGGATGGGTGTAACTGGGTGTCAGTCTGGCAGCTGCCAACCTGGTTATGATTTTATTCCTGATTAAAATCACTGCAGAGCCTCTAAAACTGACATTAAAAAGTCTCAGCTACCATGTTTTGTGAATACTGCAGGGTGTATTCAGTCTGAGTGTTTTTAAATCTCTGCTGACTTGTGTCTCACTTCAGCTTCGTGTTCTCTGCAGTGTTTTTCAGAATCTGGTTTCGTAATGAAAAGATGTTTCTAAGTGGGTGAAACCTCCATCTGTCATGAGTTCTCTAAAGCTCTTTATCACACTGGAGTTTGGAAAGCCAAAATGTTTCATGCAGTTTTTACCTTCAGGAAACTTCTGGGCTTGAAGTAATGAGCTGCAGTGCCTTGAAAAGTATGCACACCTCTTCAACTATTTCACCTTTTTTACATGGCAACACAGGAATGTCAAAAGTAAACATGATCAATCACTGTTTACAATAAAAATCTTAAAAAATGGCAAGAATCTGTTCTTAACCCCTTTCACTTTGGTAACCTCCAGTAAAAAACAGTCAGAAGTCACCAAGTTGGTAAATAAGAGTAACATGAAACCAGAAAGATGGCACCACCCTGAACGTTTCTGCTGAAGTTCAGCAGGAACAAGACGGTTGGTCAGAGTTGGACCAAATCAGGACAGACCTGGCAGAAACCTGCAGAAGATGTGAAGCTGGGGTGGAGGTTCACCTTCCAGCAGGACAATGATCCTAATACAGCACATTCAGAATGGCTTAGTCAAAGTCAAGACCTAAATCCAGCTGAGGATCTGGTGCAAGACTTGAAAATTTATGTTTACAGAGGCTCTCCATTCAGACTAAATGGGCTTAAGCCTTTTTACCCAAAAGACTGCACAAAACTTTCATCTTGTTTGTGTGAAAGGAGCCGTACCCCAAAAGACTTGTAACTGTAATTGATGGGACATTTCAAGTTGAAGCGGGACAGAATGGGAAACACATCGAGGGTTCTGGACAGTTTTCCCAGCCACTGTACTGCAGAAAGCGCTTTAGAAATGAAGAGTAATTATTGTTTGGTGTAAATCAAAATGATGTTGTAAAAATGGGATGTTGGTGTGTGTGCCTCAGGTTGGTGGTTCGTCAGCACGTCGGAGCAGCAGGGCTGGGTCCCAGCCACATACCTGGACTCCCAGAATGGAACCAGAGACGATTCGGATCTGGCCACCTCCAGGACCGGAGAAGGTTTGTTCACAGAAACATTATTACAGTCATAAAACACAAAAACACATAAAAGTCAGTGTGGCTGACTCGCTGTGGGAGAAATGTCTGCAGGGCAGAAGCAGAGATTTCTCAATCGTGATGTTTTTGCTGTGTTTGTTTTCCACATATAAATCTCAGCCTGAGAACCGTCTTTAAAAGTTAATCTTAAACACACCTCCAGTCACACATTCGGAGCCTTTGAGGCCACAGTCGCAGTATTATGGTGAAACTATACCAGACAGCTGCCAAAGTGGGCTGCAGTACTTTGGCACCACAGAAAATTCCTTCCTGTTCCCCCAGGATCCTGCAGCTCTCTGCAGGAACCTCGTTGTGTTGTGACCCTTTTCTCCCAAATGTTTAGTCTGAATGCTGGGATGAAGTATTTCACCACTGTGTCACAACACCCCCCAGTTGGGACTTTCAGAGAGAGGGAACTTTACTGAGATATATAACATGCAAACACACAAATATGCAAACATGTCTGCTGCTGAAATCTTAATAAAGCTTTTCTGTATTTGAACAGTTTATTTCTCAATGAAACCTGGATGGTGCAATAGTTTAATAAGGCATTTGCTGCCTTTGGATTATCTAACACACCTTTTCTCTGTCACTACGTGCTTCTGAAGATTGTGCAAAGCCTCCCTTACATTAGCTCCTCTCTTCTTCTCTTTGAATCCCAACTCATTATTCACTAGAGTAAAATTTGAATTTGGAGTAGTTGGACACTTTTAAACTAACTTTGTCTTTGAGGAAGCTTTAGCCAGGTAAATGTGATACCTGTTTGTCTTCAGCTGTGTTTTCTTAGAGAATGGTTGTGCTGCTGTCAGAGTCTAACAGCTGCTGGGAGGAAGGATCTCCTATAACGCTCCTTTGTGCATTTAGGATGCAGCCGTCTGTCAGTGTAGAAAGGTTTTTAACTTCAGAAAACCCTGTTTCAGTTTTATGAATTATATCCAGCGGGCCCTCGGCTCCAGAGGCCCAGGATAAACTTCACCAGGGAGGCTTAGGAGTGTTACTCCCCTGTAGTTGGAGCACACCCTGCTGCCCCCCTTTTGTCTCTCTATCCAGGGAAACTGGTCTTTTTTGAGCTTTGTATTTACATTTATTTATAGCTGTACTTTGGATCCAAGTTCCAGTAATAATCTGATTGACAGAAAAGATGAAAATGGAAGTTGAAAGTTGATGCAAAGCCTCATCAAAGCTGCTGCTATCAGATCCTAGAATGACGTTGAGCTGAATCGATACTCTGCTCCGTCTTATCCCGGCAGTGCCTCCATTCGTGCTGCTCCTCTGTTTGCACACATCGTCACTTCTCATTTCTGATCTTCCTCCCTCACATTACCGTTGCCCCTTACATCATATTATCTCCATGCGGTCCATAACCTAATTCTGCTGACGGCCCGGCTCACTGGAGAGAAACCGACAGGCACAGCTCCACTAAAATTACCTCGAAATAACATTTCCTCTCTGTGCCTGAGCTGATATTTCAATTAGGAGGTCAACAGGAGCAAGGTGGAGCTCAGCAGGATGCTGCTGAGTCAGAGAGGGACCAGAAGAGAGAGGAGATGACAAGAACCAGAGACAGACAAAAGGAGAAGAGGGACAGTGAGAAAGAGGAACATTTGGGAGATAAGAGAGGGCAGAAGACGAGACGCTGAGAGACAAAGAAGGAATTAGATTTCCACAGCACAAAGACAGAGAAAAGACGAGTTTTCTCTGCCTGCTCTTCTTTTCACTGATGTTTGCTCTCCATATGCCCTCAGATTAATCACTTCATAACTTCTGATGGATCATACAGGCTCTGAACTAAAGGATTGTGAGAAAGTTCAGGAGTTCATGGCTCAGTTAGTTAGAAGTACCACTTAATTAATTGTCATTAATTAATGACATTTCAACTCAATGTGTCTGAGTTGAAATGTGGATGGATCAGTAAATCTGGAGATTTTAGCTCTGCTACTTATTTCCCCTTCAAGCTGCTGCATTGCTGCAGAAGACAAACACCCGATGTAACTTCGTCTCTTAGTTCATCATCCAGCCTCCTCTCAGGAACAAAAGGCTTATTTGAAGTCTGAGAAACAGATTGGACTGGTTTGAATTTGCCTCATCCAGGTGAGGTCCAGGGTTTCAATGAGGCACTACCAAGTCACCTCTCTTGGTAAATTGACCTCAGAGAGTCAGACTGGAAGC